TGAAATATAGGTAGGTTGTCCTATATTATAAATATAAGTTGTCCTTTAATCAGGTCCAAGTATGGGCATGGCTCCTTGGGTATAGTTCCTCAGGTACCATTCCTTTTGATATGAGGACCTGTGAACTAAAGAGACAAGTTATCTGCCCATCACATACCCAACATACAGTGATGTGGACAGGCAGTGATTTTGAACAGGTATAGAGATTTCCTGTTCCAAAAGGGAAAATGGAGGCATAAAGAAGTTGCTGGTTCATAGCAATTCTGATAGTTGTCTCGACAGATGTCAGAAGTTCCTTGACTGGGACTTAACTTCCACTTCTACCCAGGAGTTCTCTGTGACTCTGGAGTCCACCCTTTTAGTCATCCGTTCTTTTCCATTAAAAGTAAATTTGTAGCTGCATAGTTTTCTTAGCTTGCTTCTTGCTGGTAGAAATTTGAGGGCCCAAAGACCTGTTTTCATTTTGTACTATTTTTGCACCTTTCCGTTTAGGCTGGCAGTGTTTCTTTTTAAAACTTGGAGTATCCTGTGAATCTTACTGGGATTCATGCCATTTGGCAAAAGCCACACCCACAAATCTCTTCTAAATAGGCGTTTTCCACCTTGGGCTTCTGCTGGAATTGCTGAGGGATTCCACTTGTAGTGGGTACAGTCGTGTCCCCCAGAAAGTTGTGCTCACGTCCTAAACCTGATAAGGTCACGTGAATGTGACCTTGTTTGGAAATAGGGTCTTTACAGATGTAGCCAAGTTATAATAGATGATACTGGATCAGGAAGGGCCCTAATCCAATGGTTGATAAGTCTTAAAAGAGAGAGAAATTTGGCTGGGTGCGGCGGTTTACTCCTGTAATCCCAGCACTTTGGGAGGCCAAGGTAAGTGGATCACCTGAGGTCAGGAGTTTGAGACCAGCCTGGCCAGCATGGTAAAACCCCATGTCTACTAAAAATTAAAAAAATTAGCCAGGCATGGTGGTGCATGCCTGTAATCCCAGCTACTCAGTAGGCTGAGGATGAGAATCGCATAAACCCGGAGGCAGAAGTTGCAGTGAGCTGGGATCACACTACTGCACTCCGGCCCAGGTGAGAGGGAGACTTTGCCTCAAAAAAAAAAAAGGTACAGATTTGGACATGAACACAGAAGGCACAGGGAAGAAAGCCATGTGATGACAGAGGCAGAGATTGGGGGGACATAGGTCTACAAACCAAGGAATGGCAAAGATTGCTGGCAGCCAACACCAGAAGCCAGGAAAGAGTCATGGAACTGATTTCCCCCAGAACTTCCAGAAGGAACTAACCCTACTGACACCCTCCAGAACAGCAAATAAATTCCTTTTGTTTTAAGCTACCCAGTTTGTGGTAGTTCGTTTTAGCAGCCCTAGGAAACTAACACAACACTCTTAAGCTTAGTCCAATTTTCTAACTGAATGATTCTTTAGGTACCATTTTCAATCTTTCTGAGGTGGTGGTGGTTGTTTTGGAGACAGAGTCTCACTCTGTCACCCAGCTGGAGTGCAGTGGTGTGATCTTGGCTCATTGCAGCCTCTGCCTCCCAGGTTCAGATGATTCTCATGTTTCAGCCTCCCGAGTAGCTGGGATGCCCAGCTAATTTTTGGATTTTTAGTAGAAAAGTGTTTCTTCATGTTGGCCAGGATGGACTCAAACTCCTGGCCTCAAGTGATCCTACCACATTGGCCTCCCAAAGTGCTAGTATCATAGGCATGAGCCACCACACCAGGCCCTTTCTGAGGTCTTAACAAAGACTTGTTCTAGCCTAATCCTCGGCTTCATCTGAAATTGGTCTTTTGGCGGTTCCCTGGATTCAATCTTTGTTTGAAATCTGTTTCTTAATTTAGTATCATTTACTATCTGGAGATGCTGGGGATTCTCAGAATTATACAATTTGTCTGTCCTTCCTTGAATTCATCCCTCTTTTGCATTTTAAAGTAAGCAGCAAGAAGCCAAGAGGTAATTTCAAAAGTGGATATCTCTTTAGCTAGATTATCAACCAGTTTGTGGACCACATCTGCTTTCCATGTTATGGTAAGGCAACAACTTTGCCAGTATATAACAAGGATCCCTTTCCCTCCAGTTTCTAATAAGATTTTTTCTGCATTTTCTTAATCTCTCACCCTAACTTCCTCAAAGGCCGTGGTGCTTCTACTGTTTTTTCCAGGCTCTTCAAACTTCACTGATCCGCTCCTCAAAGTCCTTCTAACTTCTGCCCACCTGCTGGGTGCCATAGATATTCTCGTGTTGCAGGTCTTTATTATAGCAGCACCCGTATCCAGATACCAAAATCTGTGTTATCTATTGCCATATAACAAATTATCTCAGAGCTTCGTGGCTTAAAACAACAAATATTTATTATCTGACAGATTCACATGATCAGGAACAGGTTCAGTTGGAATAGCATAGCTGAGTGGTTCTGGCCCAGGATTTCATGAGCTTACAGTCAGATGTTGGCCACTGCTGTAGTCATCTACAGGACTGATTAGGCTTTACACATATTCTGGCAGTTTTGTTCTGGCTGTTGGAAGGAGTACTCAGTTCCTCATCACGTGGACCTTTCTGTGGGACTGCTTGATATGGCACTCTCCGAGAGCAAGTGATTGATCCAACAGAAGTACCAGGAGAAAACACCTTCCCACCACCGCCCCCTTTTTTTGAGGGAAAAAAAAACCAAAAAGGCTGGAGTGTAATGGCATGATCTTGGCCTACTGCAACCTCTGCCTCCTGGGTTCAAGTGATTCTCCTGCCTCATTCTCCTGAGTAGCTGAGACTGCAGGCACCTGCCACCATGCCTGGCTAATTTTTGTACTTTTAGTAGAGAGAGAGGGTTTCGCCATGTTGGCCAGGCTGGTATCGAACTTCTGACCTCAAGTGATCCGCCCACCTCAGTCTCTCAAAGTACTGAGATAACAGACATTAGCCACCGCACCTGGCCATTTCCCCCCTTTTTTTGACCTTGTCTTGGAAGTCACAGATTATCAATTCTGCCATATTCTATTGTAAAGTGAGTCACGAAGTCCAGCCCATACTCAAGGGAAGATTATAAAATAATTTTTGGACATATTTTAAAAATAACACTAAGCATTCTAAAAAACAAACTGAATTTATAGATGCTGAGAATAGAATGGTAGTTACCAGGGGCTGTAGGGCAGAGGGCGTGAATTAGGGTGATAGTTGTTGAAGGACACAAAATTTCAGTTAAAAGTTCAAGAGATCTGTTGCACAACATGGTAACTGTAGTTAATAACAGTGTTTTCACCCATGCGGTGGCATATGCCTGTAATCCCAGCACTTTGGGAGGCCAAGACAGGCGGCTTACTTGACAGCCCAGCCAACATGGTGAAACCCCATCTCTACTAAAAATACAAAAATTAGCTTGGCATGGTGGTGTGTGCCTGTAATCCCAGCTACTTGGGAGGCTAAAGCTCAAGAATTGCTTGAACCTGGGGGACGGAGGTTGCAGTGAGCTGAGATCGTGCCACTGCACTCCAGCCTGGGTGACAGAACAAGACTCCGTCACAGAACAAAACAAAACAACAACCAGTGTTTTGTACATTTGAAAATTGCTAAGAGAGTAGATCTTTAGTGTTATTGTTGCAAATAACTTTGTGAGGTAATGCATATGTTGATAGTTTGATGTCATCCACAGTGCGTACATACTTCAAAATATGTTGTATACCATAATATATACAATTTTTGTCAGTTAACAATAATGAAAAATAATACAAAAAAAGCAAGCAAACAAACATGGAACAGTGTAGTTAGCTGCTGTTGAACTTTAATACCAGGGAAAGTGTAATGTTGGCCACTACCCTTGCTATGTTAGTTGGCTTAATAAGTAAAGTGGGAACCAGGGACTTAAAATTGCATGTAATTGCCGAGTGCAGTGGCTCAACGCCTGTAATCCCAGCACTTTGGGAGGCTGAAGTGGGAGGATCACCTGAGGTCAGGAGTTTGAGACCAGCTTTGCCAACGTGGTGAAATCCCATCTGTATTAAATATACAAAAAATTAGCTGGGCGTGGTGGGCACCTGTAATCCCAGCTACTTGGGAGGCTGAGACGAGGATCACGTGAACCCAGGAGGTGGAAGTTGCAGTGGGCCGAGATCGAGCCACTGCACTCCAGCCTGGGTGGTAGAGTGAGACTTCGTCTCCAAAAAAAAATCAGATCATCCAGAACACAGAAGATCTAAGAGAACAATTTCTTCAGGTTTTTCTTTTGCTGAGGCATCACTTCAGTATCTCCTTGGGTAAAAAAGACTCATTTGTATAAAGAACTGTGTACCTGTGCCATCTTAAATATTCAGAGTGACAAATACTAAGCATGTGTGTATTTATATGTGTTTGTGTCATAATCATAGGAAACAACCTTAAAATAGAATTATTGATTAAACTTTTTTTGTTTTTTTAAAAGGCACCCTTTAAATGATATTGAGAAACCCAATGTGTACAACATACAAAAATGGAACTACCCTTGTTAAAGGGAGGTGGGTCCAGAATTCCAGTGGCTCAGCATCCCTTTTAACCCTTCCTCATATTGATGCCAGATATACAAGAAACATAGTTTGAAAACTAGACTACACCATCAGATCCCCTTCTAGCGTAATTCACAAAAATCTATTAATTTATAAGATAGCAGAGCGGCTGGGCGCGGCGGCTCACACCTGTAATCCCAGCACTTTGGGAGGCTGAGGCGGGCGGATCACCTGAGATCAGGAGTTCGAGACCAGCCTGGCCAACATGGAGAAACCCCATCTGTTATTATTAAAAAAAAAAAAAAAATGTTAGCAGAGCTCAGGAAGATAGCCATAATAACAAAATAGCACACTGCTGTGTGGCAGGCTGATTTCTGGTGCTGTCTCTTGGATAATAGCCAATGAAAAGCCGTTTGGTTTTGGTTTAGGGAAGTAGTTGGTGATTAGGCAGCCATGGATATCTGTAGAGTACTTTCATTAGTCTGTTGTCTTATCTAATTTTTTCTTCTCTAACAGAATACTACAACACATCTTTGCAGGATTCTTTGCAAATTCTGCCATTCCTGGATCTCCACACCCTTTTTCCTGGTAAGTAACTTAACTGTTTTCTATCTTACTCTATTGGAGTGGCATCGTTTTATTAGGTGCTGTCATTTCTGTGCAATAGAGAAAAAGAGCTGCATAGGTGAGTATGTAGATGTAACTGGAGGCTGCTAGACTGCCATTATCTGCTAAGCCCAAACTTAATCAGAACTTTTGTTTTTTTATTGTTCAGGCTCAGGAGAGAGCTGTTCTGGTCCCCCAGGATGTTTGGGTGCTAGAAAGGTCTTGATTCCTTTTATATTCAGGTCTGAGAGTTGTGTTGAGGTAGGGAATGACATGGTCCCTGCCAGGCTTGGTATCTGATTTGTGGGTTTCCCCTGTAGACTACATAGGACTACATAAATTCTTTATGCCTTAAGAATTTCTGAAATTGAAAACATTATGCTGAACTTTATTTTTTCAAAGTGAGAAGATTTGTCAGAAGAAACAATAGGCTATAATTCAGTATCAGAGTGACGCTTATGTATGATAGGCATTAAAGATGGAATTTCTTCTTGTCTGGAAAATTATTTGCCGCTTCTAACAGTGGCCCAGAAGGCTTCTTTGTTCAAAGGAACCTCAGTCCTTTTAGGACCTCTGGGTGGCATCTAGTAGTCTGGACCTCTGCTGGTAGTATACCAGCAGCTGCGGGGGTGGGAGAGAAGGTGTTGCCAAGTCCCTTTTGCAATGGCTCTAAGTTGTGATTCAGAGAGACTGCTATGGCTACTTCTCTGCTTGAAAGCTCCTCATTGTCCAGAACTGTGGGTGGCTTCTTATAATGAGGGATGTTTGGTGTAGATTTTGACCAGTTATGAAGGAAAACTCTCCTTAAAAAGCAGCTCCATCTGTATTTAATATAAGTGGGCACAGAAAAGATAAATTTTTGAAACCAACAGGCAATGAGTCACTCTTTTTGTTCTGGCATGTCGTGTGGTACTTTAGGTAGGTTCACATTTTATGTTCTAGTTAAGTAAAATTCCTGGAGAATGAGATAACTATCTCTAGATAATCTGTTTGATCTTGAAAATACACAGAATTCTTTGCCTCTTGATCCTGGAAGACTAGTGACTTTCCAGCTCTGAGAGAGAACAGGATCCCTCTGCCAATTTTTTTTCTGTGGTGTAAGGCAGAGCCTGGTCACTCCATCTAATGCTGTCTGTCTCATCTCATGTATAGGAGCGGGATGCTGCACTCCAACCCTGGGGACTATGCCTGGGGTCAGACAGGGCTTGATGCCATTGTAACCCAGGTGAGGAGCTGCCTTTTGAGGGTGTCTGTTCAGTGTGTCTCATGGTTCCACAGACTTCCTGCTTTCCTTCTGCTACTTTCTGAAATGGGAGTCACTCTGCTTTCTCTAATATTTTGAGCTTTGGGGATTCTATTTTACTAAAGGGATGATTGATTTATGGGGTTAGCTCAGTATCCATGCACTTTCTGGATCCGAGAGAATTTCTAGAAGATGATTTCACCTCCGCAGGAAGAAAAGACTTCTGTAACAAATAGTATTTTGTATTTTTGGTCTCTCTTGTTCAGTCCTATAAGGATTCTATTAACAAGTATTTCACAAAAAAGGAGGGTTTCCTCACATGTTGAAGCAGGGATTTCTGCTAGATGGAACAAAGTAGGGGAAGGAAGCAGAGAAAAGGGTATTCCCATGCCATGTGTAATTGCTTCCATTTGTTTATGTTCATTTTAATTTGATTGGTTTTTCATTTCCCTTGTGGATTTCTGAGAACAGAAAGCATGTCCTTTAAATTCAGTCTTCTTATAGGCAGTAATTTACCTATTTCTTGGCTTACATTATGCTACTTTTCATACTTCTACTTTTTGTTCTTCCAGCAGAGTGAAGCTTTTGGACCAGTTACGTAGTACTTTTTATTAAGCTATAGTTTTATTCATGACATCACAACCCTTTTGCTGCCTCTGACGTTGCTTTATGCCCAAAGGTGGGCTTTGCAATCATGGGTTTGTCTGTAGGCTTATACCAGTGTCACTCTGAAATTGTAAATTAATTATGAGTGTTCTGGCAGCAGGAAAGGGGGAACCCAAGCCTCTCAGAGCCTTGCAGAAGTTAAGAGTAACTAACATACCTAATATCTGCACTGTTTGTTCTCAGCTGGAGCAGCTCCCTCTCCAGGGATACTGAGATGTCTGCCACTTCATCTTTTTCTTTCTCTCTCTCTCTCTCTTTTTTTTTTTTTTTTTTTTTTTTTTTTTGTAGCTTTTAGGACAACTGGAAAACACAGGTCCTCCCCCAGCTGACAAGGAAAAGATCACATCTCTTCCAACAGTGACAGTAACTCAGGAACAAGTTGGTAGGTTCATTTTTATACTTACTCTGTCAACTTCTTTTTTTTTTTTTTTTGAGACGGAGTTTCGCTCTTGTTACCCAGGCTGGAGTGCAATGGCGCGATCTCGGCTCACCGCAACCTCCGCCTCCTGGGCTCAGGCAATTCTCCTGCCTCAGCCTCCCGGGTAGCTGGGACTACAGGCACGCGCCACCATGCCCAGCTAATTTTTGTATTTTCAGTAGAGACGGGGTTTCACCATGTTGACCAGGATGGTCTCGATCTCTTGACCTCGTGATCCACCCGCCTCGGCCTCCCAAAGTGCTGGGATTACAGGCTTGAGCCACCGTGCCCGGCAACTCTGTCAACTTCTGATCTCTGTTCAAAATCCCAGTATTTTCTGACAGGTGAAAAGTTTAAAAAATGAACAAAAAGAAAAAGAAAAAAAAGATAAGTGAGAAAAAAAAAATCCATGATACCTTCCTATATTAAGGACCTTTTTGTGAAACCATAGCCCTAATTCCTACCTGGGTGCCAGATCTGGAAAGTTCCTACCCCTTAGGTTAGTCAGTAGGTATTTCCTGAGCAATTACCATGTCTCTTTTTTAGGTGCTATTGGGAATAAAGAGGTATAAAGGTAGATGAGACTTGATTCTAATAAGTTGAAGAAAAACTTATCAAATGATTAAAAATTGTATTGGACACATGATACTAACATTGGGGAAAGGAGAAGAGAAAAAAATAGGAGGCTGGGAATTTGTTTTAAATCTACTTTGTATCAGGTACAGTTAGGTATATTAGTCATAGATATTATTTATAAGAACTGAAGGAATTTAGTGAAAAGGGATGGCATTTTGGACTAACATTGGCGACAAGGGACAGCATTTTGGACCTAAACCATCAATTTAGTTTTAGAATGAGAAATTTCAAAGACAAGATGGGCCATCTTACGTCATTCTATTTAAGGAAAGTATGAACTAATATAAGAATATCAACATATACATGGTGTGTGAGTTAGGAAAAGTGGTCTTTAGGGAAGATTAGTTTGGGGGCAGTGTGTGAAACATATTCAAAGCGAGAGAGAGCAGGAACAGGTATTAGAGTCTGTTGCAGCAGTCCAGGTGGGGTTCAGGTGATGGTGACAATGCTAAGAGAAAGGAAAGCGTAGATTAAGAAGATTTTTTTTTTTTCTTTATTTTTAAAGAGACAGGGTTTCACCATATTGGGCAGGCTGATCTCAAACTCCTGATCTTGTGATCTACCTGCCTTGGCCTCCTAAAGTGCTAGGATTACAGGCGTGGGCCACCACACCGGCCAGAAGATCATTTTGGAGAAAGGCTTTCCTCACTGATTGCATAATGGATGAAGGAGGAGAAAGAGTCAGAAATAATTCTAAGATTTCCCAGCTTTGTAACTTTAAACATGGTGCTGCCATCTTCAGGGATGGGGGAATAGTGAATGGCACTGGTTTGGGTAAGGAGATGAAGTGATGTTTTACATTTTTAATTTATTGATTTCTGAGGTGCCAGCTGAGAATCCAAGTGATAAAGAGGAGCTGTGAATTGCTATGAAGCTGATTTTAGGGAAAATTAAGTTGTAGCAAAGTATAGGATATGTTTGGAGGGTTAAGACAATGGAATTTGGGATACTAGCTGGGAGGCCATTGCAGCAGACTGGGCATGAAAAGTAAAAGAATTAGGCCAAAGTTGGTGGGAATGGAGAGTAAGGAGTAAATCTATTCAGTAGCAGTACTGCTCCAAATGCCTTATCTGCTGTTGGGGCATGGAGCATATCCCAGCCACTAGGCATATAGACTAGCTGGTAGTATTAGACATATTTGGTAAACTCAAAACTTGCTGCTTGGAACTCCCAGTAGTTTGTGACTGTTTCTTCTCAGAGGAGAGGGCTTTCTGCTCTTGATTTGGTGACCTGAGCTAAACTTTGGCTTTGCAGTTCTGCAGCACCACTTCTGATCTAGCTTTTCATTAACTTTTTTTTTCTTTTTCTTTTTTTTTGAGATGGAGTCTTGCTCTGTTGCCCAGGCTGAAGTGCAGTGGTGCAGTCTTAACTCACTGCAACCTCTGCCTCCTGGATTCAAGCAATTCTTTGCCTCAGCCTCCCGAGTAGCTGGGGTTACAGGTGTCCACCGCCATGCCCAGCTAAGTTTGTATTTTTAGTAGAGATGGGATTTCACCATCTTGGCCAGGCTGGTCTTGAACTCCAAACCTCAGGTGATCCATCTGCCTCGGCCTCCCAAAGCAGTGCTGGGATTACAGGTATGAGCCACCATGCCCGGCCCTCATTAACAGTTTTTACAGAGGACTTTAGGGTAGCCACACCTAAATAGGATGCTTCATCCCATGCTGAAAAGAGCATGGTAAAAGTGGCAAGTAGCTTCAGACACTGAACTGCTGAGATTGCTGAGATGAATTTCTTGGCTGTGGTGGACAGGTTGACAATGGAAACTGACTGCCAGAGGGCTGTCACATCTTTAGGAAGATGTTTTTTCTGTTTTACTGAACAGATCATCTAAGCCCCAGTTTATTTCTTCCAACTCTTTACATCAAGAAATGGGCCTTATGTAGTTCCTGTGTAGGCCTTTTTGGAGTAGACCCCATTCATCATTCCTCCTTTTCATGTCTCTGTTTACTACCATTGTTACCCTCATTTTGAAATATAATTCATGCCTCTTACTTGCCTGCCACTTGGGTACACATACATTTTCTTTTATCTCATGTGTTTTTTTTTTTTTCTTTTTCTTTTTCTTTTTTTTTTTTTTTTTTTTTCTTCGATACAGAGTCTTGCTCTGTAGCCCAGGCTGGAGTGCAGTGGCTTGATCTTGGCTCACTACAACCTCTGCCTCCCAGGGTCAAGTAATTCTCCTGCCTCAGCCTCCAGAGTAGCTGGGACTACAGGCACACACCACCATGCCTGGCTAATTTTTGTATTTTTCGTAGAGACGGGGTTTCACTATGTTGTATGTTGGTCAGGCTGGTCTGGAACTCCTGACCTCATGATCCGTCCGCTTTGGTCTCCCAAAGTGCTGGGATTATAGGCGTGAGCTACTCCACCTAACTCTTATGTCTTTTCTTTATGCATTTTCAGGGTTGGTAGAGACATTGGGTTAGTTTTTTCTTCCTTTTCTTTTTTTACTTTAAAATGCATTTCCTGCTTCAACAGATATGGGTTTAGAGTGTCCAGTATGCAAAGAAGATTACACAGTTGAAGAGGAAGTCCGGCAGTTACCTTGCAATCACTTCTTTCACAGCAGTTGTATTGTACCATGGTTAGAGCTGGTAAGTACAGCAAGTCATGGCTTCTTGGGGGGTTGATTGAGAGTACAGGTATAGTTAACAGTTCCTCGAGATCCAAGTAGATCAGATTTTATCCCATAAATCCCTGGCTAACTCTGATACTGTTATTTGTTTAGAACTTTTCTGGCCAAGGGTTACAAACTGTGTTCCACAGGCCACTGTGGCCCCCCGCCTGTTACTGTAAATAATTTTTTTTTTTTTTTTTTTTTGAGATGGAGTCACACTCTGTTACCCAGGCTGGAGTGCAGTGGCCCGGTCTCAGCTTACTGTAGCCTCTCCTGCCAACTTCAAGCGATTATCCTGCCTCAGTCTCCTGAGTAACTGGGATTATAGGTGCCCACCACCACGTCTGGCTAATTTTTGTGTTTTTAGTAGAGTCAGGGTTTCACCATGTTGATCAGGCTGGTCACAAACTCCTGACCTCATGATCCGCCCTCCTCGGCCTCCCAAAGTGCTGGGATTACAGGTGTCAGTCACCATGCCCGACTGCAAATAAAATTTTATTGGAACACAGCTATGTTTATTTGTTTATAGATTGTCCATGGCTACTTTTGTGCTACATCAGCAGAGCTGATTATTTATAACAGCTGTGGTGTGGCCTGCACAGCCTAAAATATTTGTTTTCTGTCCCTTTATGTATTTATTTTGAGACAGAGTCTCACTCTGTCACCCAGGCTGGAGTGCAGTGGTGTGATCTCTGCTCACTGAAACCTCCACCTTTTGGGTTCCAATGATTCTCGTGCCTCAGTCTCCAGAGTAGCTGGGATTACAGGCATGCACCACCACACCCGGCCAATTTTTGTATTTTTAGTAGAGATGGGGTTTTGCCATGTTGCCCAGGCTTGTCTCAAACTCTTGACCTCTAGTGATCCGCCTGCCTTGGCCTCCAAAAGTATTGGGATTACAGGTGTGAGCCAGTGCACCTGGCCAATTTTCCTGTCCCTTTAAACAAAAAGTTATTTGACCTCTGCTCTAGATCATATGGGAATTAATGGGCAGTTACCCTCTTGTCATAGATCGCTCTCTGTTTGTGGTTAGCTCTGTTTGGTGGTATGTGTGAGCTGTTACTAAGTTGCTGGACTAGAATTGTGCCTGTCAGTTCTGCTTAAAGTTCTGTTTGGGAGATATCCTGGTATCACACCTTAGACGCCAGAGCATGTGGTATGAGGATGCATTCCCTCTTGTTTTTCTATTCCAAGTCATCAGTTTTGATGTGACAATTCTCAGGGTTACTTAAGTGTGCAGTACTCCCAGCTTCTCAGGCCAGGATCTTCACATAGACTAATATTTTTCTGTTTCAGCATGACACATGTCCTGTATGTAGGAAGAGCTTAAATGGTGAGGACTCTACTCAGCAAAGCCAGAACTCTGAGGCCTCTGCAAGCAACAGATTTAGCAATGACAGTCAGCTACATGACCGATGGACTTTCTGAAGCTAAAGACCACACCTGAATCAGGGCTATGGTAATCATCTTACCATAGCTGTAAATTGTATCAAAACAAAAAATTAGTAGATGGATATAGGAATCACATAAGAAACCCAATGCATAATATTAATGCAATGAATGTTTTTCTTCTCTAAATTTAAAGTTAGTATCTACAGATGGAATTGTATCTACAACAAAATGCCTCTTATTCATGAAATCAGAGTGATAATTTTCTAAGTGTGAAACTTAATTATGTAGGGCTCCCCCCACCTGAATAGAATCAATCCCTTAAAGTCTAGTTAGGGTCCTGCTATCTGTCATGTTGCCTTTGTAACAGAGGTTTCCACCTCCTTCTCCACCCTCTACCCCACCATTAGTGTATTTTACTATAAAAACAGTGGAACCACAGCCCTAAAGTCCTGCTGATATAAAGTCCTTTTGTCTTAATTGTACTTAAACAAACAAACAAAAAAAATCTACTCTTGATCACATTAGCTGTGAGGTGAGGCCAAATTAATTCAGGAATCTAAGACTGATGATTTTGTTTTGTCTTGATTCCCAGAGCACAAATCAAAGAAGAATTACAGTGAGAAGGGAAAAGTGGTTTACCATCATGGTGCTTTGGTTTTCTTATTTTAATTTTTAAAGACTACTTCAGTTGATGCAGTTTCCCCAGAAAACTACATAACGTATTTTGGGAGACGTATGTTGGTAGGAATCTGATTCCATTTCCTTTTTGGGAAAGAGTTGGGCAGCATACAGACATAGAAAGACAGATGTTTGAGATCTTTGCTTTTAAGATTGTAAAAAATGATCCCCAACTCATTGATTTTTGTTTGTTTCTTTCTGTTGCCTAGGCTGGAGTACAGTGGCACGATCTCAGCTCACCACAGCCTCGACCTCCCATGCTCAAGTGATCCTCCCACCTCAGCCTCCCTAGTAGCTGGGACTACAGGCATGTGCCACTATGCCTGGTTAATTTTTGTGTTTTTATAGAGATAGGGTTTTGCCATGTTGACCAGGCTGGTCTCAAACTCCTAGGCTCGAGCGATCCACCTGCCTCAACATCTCAAAGTGCTCAACTCATTGTTTACTGTCTTTTTTCCTAGTAATCTTAAAATAATTTGTGTCACAGAAATAGATGCAGTACGCATCTGCAGCCACTTCACTGTTTTTAGTAACCCATTGGTCTTCAGGACTTAAGATTTTACGTTGTCACATTTTAACTCTTTAAGCCTATTTTTCATCTCTGAAACTTTCCTTTTCTGCTTGGTTCTGGCTGTACTTGGACTCAAACTGACCAATGTGATCATGTCCGAAACAGCTTGGCCTGGGAGAGGTAGGCCTTATATTTTCAGCCTAGTAGCATCCCATGCCCATGCTCTTTGTAGTATTTAAGTATTTAACGTTGAATAAATGAAGAAGGTCAGGAACGTTGTGGAAACTTCAAAATCTCAAAAGGGGAGACATAACAGCTGTTGGTGTACCAAAAGAAGGTACTTAGGGGCACCATTAATATTGTCACATTAGCCTTTGATAGTTAGAATGATCAGAACAAGAACACCACTCTTTAATGGGTTTCTTTCTTGGCTAGGAGTCTCCTCAGTTTTTGTTGACTATCATATGCCAATTTGTAGGTGGTGGAAGGGAGCTAGAGATACCTTTTTCTTTACTTCGACAGAGGATAAAGGAGTCAGGGAGGGAAAGGAAAAAGTGGGGGGGTGGCCTGCTGAAATAATAGCCTGCCTCTAAAAGTTGCGACCAGGAAGTATGATTCAGCTGGGCTCAGAGAGAATAAAAGATGTTTTCTCATATACCTCCTGTATCACACCTCTGTCGTGATTGTTTATTTGGGGAATGAGATCTACTTAACTGTGGGTAGCCCCTGAAATGTAGCTTGAGAATACATACTGGTTTTGAATTGGGGAGGAAGACTTAAGGAAATGAGAGGTGAATTGTGAATATTTGGCCGCTACTTAGATGGAGGAAGGCTGTGTTGAAGTTGGAACACATTAGAGTTTTGAAGTACACAATGTCAGTTGTCTCAGAAAAATTATCATTGCCTGGACACTTTTGTCTGCCCATCAGCGTCTGGAAATGCCAGGACAGGCAGTTGTAGTTTTACTTAAGGCTAGAGAACTAATGCCTAGAGAACTAGAAAGGATCTGAGTTCTTTACAAAGATCTGAAAGCTTTACAAGTGGTAGAGACAAAGTGCTGGATAGGGATCTGCCTTTTTATACACAGTATAGCAAATAGCATCAGACTAAGTTATCTGAAATTTTCTTCACTTTTTTTGCTTTGATGGATGGAGGACGTGAGACTCATTTTGCTATTTCCCAGACCTGTCCCTTTTAATGAATCTGTTGTGTTTCTTCTTACAATGGGAGGTACCTCAGATGTCCAGGTTAATTTATGTTGAGGAGTTAGGGTTCTTTGGAGATTTATTATTATTATTATTATTGAGACAGAGTCTCTCACTCTATCACCTATACTGGTGGGCAGTGGCATGATCTCAGCTCACTGCAACATCTGCATCCTGGGTTCCAGTGATTCTTCTGCCTCGGCCTCCCAAGCAGCTGGGATTACAGGTATCTGCCACCATGCCCAGCTAATGTTTTATATTTTTAGTAGGGATGGGGTTTTTGTCACGTTGGCCAGGCTGGTCTTAAACTCCTGACCTCAGGTGATCTGCCTGCCTTGGCCTCCCAAAGTGCTCGGATTACAGGTGGGAGCCACCATGCCCAGCCTGAGATTTATCCTAAAGAATTGGTTCACACAGTTATTGAGGTTGCAAAGTTCCGAGATCTGCAGTGGGCCAGCTAGAAATCCAGGAGAGCTCCTGTTGTAGTTCCAGTCTTGACAGCCAGCATGGAGACCCAAGAAAGAGCTGATAGTTCCACTCCAGTTCAAAGGCAGGAAAAGACTGAGGTCTTGGCTCAAGCAGTCAGGCAGGAGGAGTTTTCCCTTACTTGTTCTGTTCAGACCTTCAACTCATTGGATGAGGACCATTCACATTAGGGAGGGCCATGTGCTTTATTCAGCCTACTGATTGGAATGTTAGTCTCATCCAAAACCACCCTCACTGGCACACCCAGAATACTCTGTGACCAAATATCTGGGTGTCCTGTGGCCTAGTCAAGTTGACACATAAGATTAACCATCACAAGAGGAAAAACAGAAATGATGCATATATACAGAGTGTTCCCAATCCCACTTAAGTTTCACCAAGTGAATAATGTGTCTGTATGAGAAATGCTTGCTTTGGCTTAGAGACCTCAGTACTGGTTACTGAGTTACTGACCTCAATACATAGTTAAGCAGTGGAAGAAATGTATATGGGATGTTTGCTGTGTATATAATGTCTATTTTTTCTTTTTAGCCTAAATTAACTCTGGAAGTCTGAGAGACCTCCCATTCTGGGAAGAAGCATTTTAGATTATTTGGTCTAACACCAGAACATGGTTGCGGTTAAGCATTTACTTCTAGGAATGCCATGTCCTTAAATGTTTCAGACACAGTTTAGATAAAATGCCCAAGGCAGGAGGCTGGATAGCCTGGACTTTTCAGATGTTCATTCTTTTACAGCTGGAAGGCTTACACACTCAGGAATCTGGAGACTTATAGAGTCAAGGGAGAGACAGTTCAACTTGCCCTGATTGTCAAAGAGAAAACTTGCGATTTCTGATCTTGGAACCCTTAGTTTGAACTTGAGGTCTTTAAATTCATGTTAAGCAGCCCTTTGAATTTTATGCAGTGCTGAACAGATTATTTTCTTATTCTGAATGACTTTTCATCTATATCTTTTCCATTATAATTCCAATAGTATATATGTATCCTCTTGTCTGTTACAGTTTGAAATGAGGGAAAAAATTATTTGGTTAGCACATAATTAGGAAAGATTTCTTAGAGATTGGTAGACTTGGGAGTTGTGAGGTCATATAGGGCAGTGCCTTGATTTATTGCTTCTGTGGTAGTTTCCAGATAGGTTAGTCTAACCCATCTTCACATGGGTTAGTTGTGGTTGGACAGAACTAGAGAGTCTGATGGGAAGAGCAAGATTTAGCTGATATCTCCAGTATCTTTAAAGTTTCAGAATTAATGAGTTCGGAGCAAGGAGAAGAAATAACCCCAGCATTAAAAATTAATTTTCTATCAAAGTTCCTGTTGCTGGTTCTCTGAAGAGTTAAGAAACTTGGAGAATCCAGAAAGACATTTTGTCCCTGTTGCTGTAGCTCTTTGACTCTTTCCCTACAATAATGCTTTAATTTATGAGAAAAAGACTAGAGGATGTAGAAATGGCTGTTAAATAGCTTCCTTTTAGCTCATCATAAAGTGTATCAGCATTTGCTGCGTAATAGTTGGGCAGGTGCTTCTTAAATGTTTTCTTTGAGCAGGAATTGGTCCAGGAATTGGCTCTCAAGTTAGAAGGAAAATTTGGGGGGAAGAACTTGAGTTTTCCCCAGTCTTTGATTAAATAGCTATTAGGAAAAAAATTTCTTGCTTATGTCTTTGTATTGCATATTTATATATATATATATATATATATATATATATATATATATATATGTGTGTGTGTGTGTAAATATAGGTATTTATATTCACAAACACATATATGCACATTTCACACTGGAGGAAGAAGGGATATGGTATGCACTGAGGTAAAGTGAGCAGGGATACAGAAGAGGGCTAGAGCCTCACAATCTGATTCTCTTGTTGTACGTAACCTGATCGTCAAAGAGAAGAGAAAACTTGTGATTTCTGATCTTGGAACCCTTAGTCTGAACTTGAGGTCTTTAACTTCATATTAAGCAGCCCTTTGAATTCCATGCAAAGGGTCTGTGTTTCCCTGAGTTCTCTGTTACAGGGCACTGTTGGCTTGGGCTGGTACCCTGTTTGCTCTGTGATGAAGGGATTCACTGGAGGTAAAAACCTAATCATTTCCAAGGGTTGAGACTAAATGACTTTGAGGAAAGGATATTCAACATCCGTTGCTTCTATATTATAATTATAAAATAGAATTATAATACAGTTATCTATTGCTATTGAAAAAAATATTTCTGACAAATTATTGACACCAAATTGAATAATTCATGACCTTCTACATGCTTCAGCTTCTTTCTCTCTGGTTTCCAGGTGCTGTTCCCTCAAAAAATACAAATTAAATACATTGGTCTTAATAAATCAGGAGGGAAGCATAGTCTGTGTCTGTTTTAAATGACAACAACAACAAAACAGCCTTTGGTGCTTAAGGAGTGGAAGACAGAATTTTTTTTTTTTTTTTTTTTTTTTTTGAGACACAGTCTCACTCTTTCGCCCAGACTAGAGTGCAGTGGCATGATCTCAGGTCACTGCAACCTCTGACTCCTGGGTTCAAGTGATTCTCTTGCCTCAGCCTCCCAAGTAGCTGGGATTACAGGCATGCGCCACCACACCCAACTAATTTTTGCGTTTTCAGTAGAGACAGGATTTTGCCATGTTGCCCAGGCTGGTCTCGAACTCCCGACCTCAAGTGACCACCTGCCTCAACCTCCCAGAGTGCTGGGATTACAGGCATGAGCCACCACGCCCGGGTGAGAAGACAGATTTTAAGAGAGGGAGCAGTGCTGGTATCTGAATAGGTATTTGGATGTTAGGGGAAAACCCTTTTTGGCCTCTGTGGTAGAGAGATGAGGAGATAAAAGTGCTGTTTACAAGAATAATCCATTGGAGCTTTGGGGATTGAGGAGGACTTATAACATAGAGTTCTGTTACTAACAATTTCCAAAATGAATCTCATATAATTTCGTCACTGACACAGTAAGATGGAGGAAATTTTTGATGGGATAAACATCACAAATGGCAGTCCTAAAAGGGGGAAATCCTAGCCTGCAGCAATGTTAGTGTCTCAGTAATCAGTCTGGGAGCCACTGGGCTGCTTCAGGGGTTTAAAATAGAACACATAGAATATGATGTGTGCAACTGGAGATGCTTTCCAGGGTCAAAATAGAGCCCTTGTCTGATCCAAACAACATTGTAAGGTTTTGATCTCATACCTGCCACAGACAGGTGCATTATAGGCATTCAACTTTAAGGTTTTATACATACAAACTTTACATTTTCCTGCCAAAATACATTTGGTGTCCACAGAAGTGTAGTTTGTATGTTGCCCTTTTTCCCTCTTTCAACCAGAACATATAGATCTGTGAATCATAGGCTTGTGGTTCTTTATCTTTTCCAAAAATTACTAGATTCTTGGCTGGGTGTGGTGGCTCCCGCCTGTAATCTCAGCACGTTGGGAGACTGAGGCAGCAGATCACTTGAGGTCAGGAGTTCAAGACCAGCCTGGGCAACACAGTGAAAGCCCATCTCTACTAAAAATACAAAAATTAGGCAGATGTGGTGGCAGGCACCTGGAGTCCCAGCTACTCAGGAGGCTGAGGAGGGAGAATCACTTGAGCCCAGGAAGCAGAGGTTGTAGTGAGCCGAGATCGTGCCACTGCACTCCAGCCTGGGCAGCAGAGACCCTGTCTCAAAACAAAAACAAAAAAACTCCAAAATTATTAGATTCCCTTCCAACAACATGATAGCCATATTACTAGTATTTTTGGTAAAAGAATACATAACAAAAAGCTGCTATGATTTCAGTAATGCTTTTAAGTCAATTTATCTTTATTAGTCACACCAGAATCTGTATCCAGTTGAAATATAGTATATACAAATATTTGAAAGATATTTATTCAAGCTCAAGATTATGGTATATCTGTTCCTTGTAATAACCTCATGGCCTCACAGAGGTTCAAAACCCATGGTTGTGAATCACTCATAGATTGGGGCTAAGATGTGTGTCCAGAAAACTGCCTATTCATGCATGGAAATTTGTAGGCTTGTTTGAAGTCAATTGTTTCAATACATTTTGAAAACCAAGATACAAATATCTTAAATTTCTGTTGAACCAAGTCCTGAGATAAGCAGAGTAAATAAATTCTTTTAGAAGCAAGACTCAGTTGGTATGTACAAAGTATATTTGCTTTGTATATATTTTGCTTAGTTCGAGTCAGAGCTGGTAGTCTCATGCTCATAAATGTCTTGATAAACTTGGGCAGTGTATCCTTTCTGTGATTGTGTGTCACAGATTGTTATATATGGACTGTAATTAAGTATAGTACAATGGCTGAAACTTTTCATATAGTTGGATATAACTTCTTACTGAGACTTCCAGTGATTATATAGTGTTGAGTAGCTCTAGGAGATTCTTTGAATACTAAAAACAAAAGACATCTCACCCATGTGAGCTTCTTATTTAGTTGGAAACACAGAACTAACATATGAAACAGGTAGAGAAGGATTAAAATGAATATGATGTAGTGGAGAAAGCTTTGGAGACTGGAGTCGGAATTCAGATGGTTCTAGGTTCCAAATACAGACTGTCATTTGATTCTCAGAACAATCCTGTGGAAACAGAAGATGGAGTAGGCAGTATCACTTTTTACGGACAAGTAAGCAGAAATCGCATCTCAGAACTTCATTTGCCCAATGACAACTGGTATGTTGCAGAGCCAGAATTTGAATCCAGATCTTTGGCTCCATGTCTAGACCTTTTATCTCCATAGGATACAAAGTCTAAAATCTTAGTTTGAGGTTCAAGATTACCACTAATAAGGGTATTACCTCCCTCAGCCATATCTCTCTCCATTCCCACAATCCTTAGCTCCCACGTTTGGCCGGTCCTTGCCAAGGATCACAGGTAAAGTGTCTCTTTCCTTTTAATGGCTCACCATGGAGCTGTAGCTAAATTTCTGCGCTCCTACCCCTTTACTCATGTAGTTCCTCCTATCAGGAATATCCTGCCTACTGTCTGCTTAACTATGACAAGAGGTCATCTGTCCAAAGAGAAAGAAGAGAGTTTGTGAATTTAGGAGAAAAGACTGCAAATACTGTGATGGGCGTTTATTTAAAAAGAGAAATGACCAAAGAGGTTAACAAGCATTTATTGAAGCTGGACAGTTGTAGTCTGTGGTGCGCCTGGTCTGCACAAATCTTCCTCTTCCTCCAGCAGTGCTGTGTGGATGCTGTTGAACGTCAAGGTCTATCTGCATTTCCTCATTTTCATACCAAGTCAGTCACTGGATCTGGCTGTCTTCCTTTCCGTCCTACGTATCTTTGCTTGTTTTCTCTCTTTTTCCTTTACAGTGTTAAATAAAAATTTCTTCCCCCCACATTTGGTGTTCTCCTTTTGTTTGACTTGACTTATTTTACCGTGTTGATGAGGAAGGAGGAAAAGTTGTTCTGGGGTACAAAAAAGCATATATTTATCCAGTATTTGAGAACAGTATACCAGCCACTTTGTGAAAGCTATTTTATTTACTGGAGCTTAGGAGGGCAGAAGGCAAGTTTGCTCTGACAGTGAGGGGGGAAAGTCAAGGTGCACACTGATTTGCCCCAGCTCCTGTTTCCACAGATTCTTGGCATATTCGCATCTCTCCCGCTGTGCTCCATTGCTTGCTTCTCTGTGCCTATTGTAATGAGAAAGATACTAAGCCAGAGTCAGACTTATCTTGCTGTAGCTTTTTAAAAAGTTTCTTTTGGCACAAGGCTTACAAAGCTGTGGAAAGAAAAAGAAAGTTTGTGTTACTGCCTGGTAACTTAGAATAGCAACAAAATACCTGATAAAATGAAGTCTGACCTATCCTGAGTGTGTTACTGCCTTGTAACTTAGAATAGCAACAAAATACCTGATAAAATGAAGTCTGACCTATCCTGAGTGTGTTACTGCCTGGTAACTTAGAATAGCAACAAAATACCTGATAAAATGAAGTCTGACCTATCCTGAGTGTATGTTTGATTGGCCCTCATGACTGTAAAGGGAACTATTTTATGTGTTGTGTCTTATTACTAAAGTTAGGGCTGTGATCTTGAGCAAATCTCATTCTGGTGGGAGTGGGGAGGGGGCTAGCCTTGATCGCCCCTTGCTGGAAGGTGGGACATTCAAAGAAGCAATAGATGCCACTCAAAAAGTTGAAGGTAGGCTTTGCACGTATAGCTTGGAATTGCTGGCACAATGATAAGACAAGGATATTCACTGAAGTTAGCTTCATGAGCTGAGAGGGGCACAGATCTCCAGGAAAACTCCCTCCTCCTCTTCCCCATGTGTAAGCGTGATAACTTGATCTATGTGATGTTTCTAGACCTGAGAAAGCATGTGTACTATTCTGAATGCTACCTCTTTCCATGATTCTACCAAGCCTTGAGTTGGAGGAGAGGGATAAACAAAGCTTGTAAGTAGTGTGTATTTTCTTGTTAATCAAATATTGAGCTTTAGTTTTTTTCCTTTTGTTAACTTTAAAGCTGCTTGAATTGAAGATAGGAGAAAACAAAAGATTGGATTCAAAAGTTCATTCTCTTCACCTGAGTGGAAAAGGGAAAAAAGCCCAGACATTTTAAAATTTATTTTGCCAGGCGCGGTGGCTCACGCCTGTAATCCCAGCACTTTGGGAGGCCGAGGCGGGTGGATCACGAGGTCAAGAGATCGAGACCATCCTGGTCAACATGGTGAAACCCCGTCTCTACTAAAAATACAAAAAATCAGCTGGGCATGGTGGCGCGTGCCTGTAATCCCAGCTAGTCAGGAGGCTGAGGCAGGAGAATTGCCTGAACCCAGGAGGCGGAGGTTGCAGTGAGCCGAGATCGCGCCATCGCACTCCAGCCTGGGCAACGAGAGTGAAACTCTGTCTCCAAAAAAAAAAATAAATAAAATAAAATTTATTTTTATTTTTTTTCCTCTAGGATGACTTGGGAATCAAAGATAGTGACTGGTAGTAGGCTGTATGGCTAGACTCAATTTCCCCTTCAGAATTTTTATTCTAAAATAAAATGTATTTTATTGGTTACAGTAGCCTAAACAAGGGAAGTTAGAGTCAGTAAAAAATTATGTCTAAAGGGTCAGACTGTTTCTTATTCGTGTTTCCTCCTGAAAACTGGCATACGCTTAAACTTGGAAGATCCTCACTAAGGATTACAGATAAGGTCTCTGTTTTCTTTTTGAAATCTCTGTTTTCTTTTGATGACTTGCAAATAAGGGACTGGAATAGGGAATGTTTTGGGGGCCCTGTTTCTGGAAAGGGGAGGAGGCAGTCTCAGAATGAGGGAGGTGGTGGAGGTAAGAGGTTCTTTGCATATAGTAGGTCATTAGTGTAAGGTTTAAGAGTGAGAAGGATCTGTATTAATTGCTGTGAAGGGCAACATTTAACTTTTTTTTGAGAAAGGGTCTGTTACCCAGGCTGGAGGACAGTGGCATGATCGTGGCTCACTGAACCTCAACCAACCTGGGCTCAGGTGATCCTCCTGCCTTGGCCTCCTGAGTAACTGGGACTATAGGCGCATGCCACCGTACCTAATTTTTGTACTTGTTTGTAGAGATGGGTTTCATCCTGTTGCCCACACTGGCCTCAGACTCCTATGCTCAAGGGATCCTCCCACCTCGGCCTCCCAAAGTGCTGGGATTACAGGCTTGAGCCACTGTGCCAGGTCCCATTCAACTTCTTTATGTCTGTTTCCTGATGTTTGCTTGCAAGTTAGAATCATGTGTAAAGCATCTGATTCATCATACAGGTTCTTTAACAAATTTATTAAGAGCCTGCTATATGTCTGAGACTTGGGGTAAACGAGGCAAAGTCTTTACATATATAGAGCCTACATTCTGATGCCGCTCAAAACAGTGATAGTTACTGATTTGAGGAAAACCTAAATAAAATGGAGGTAAGAATGCCAAGGACAGGCAAAAACCTGTATCAGTTGCTTGTTACACAAAAACATAATGACAAATTATTGGAAGTTTCACTTTTTGTTATAGGGAAAATGGAAATCCATATGGATAAGTGGTGCTCAGAGGACTCAGCTGCATGTGTTTAATATGCCCAATCTGGCCATCAGCCTTTGCTGAGGAGCTGCACTGTTCAAAACCCACCTCCAGACCAAGTATCGCTTGCCTTGTTCTTCCTGTAATAGCCAAAAATCTGTTGCTTCAACTTGGAGCCCTCTGTTCATGCAGCGAGTAGAGGCAGTTGTACTAACATGCCTCTCTCACAGGCCTTCTTTCCTAATGAGTCTGACCTCCTACCCATTGAAAAATCAGATTCATTTGTCTTCCTCTACATATACAAAGTCTTTAGTGCCTTTGGATCAGGGAAACCGGTTTGAACTTCCCTGTGGATAGCCAGGACTCGAGGAACATTCTTCTCTCCCTCTGGACTTCCTTTCCAACCTTCTCCTCCTGGAGAATAACCAAGGTGGCAGAAATATTATAGTACACTTATAGCTTGGGGTGCTTACGGCTCTTCTGGACATACCTTGTAGGACCACCAGGCTGGTGACCAGCATCACCCAGACCTTTTCTTGTAGGAAGCCTGAACTGAGAGTGCCTTCACTATGGCCGAATTCAAGATGGTGTCGTCGTTTGGATCCCGTCACTGTGTAGTTCCCCGTCTCTGGTTCAAAAGAGAATCATGGATCAGGGGAGGGTTTCAGAAATCATCAGTACCTCCCTTTGCATCATCTCATGACATCTCTATGATCTCCAAGGATACCTCCCACCATAATTCATTACCCAAATAAGTATTTTTTAACCCTGTGGGTAATTATGATGTCCTTAAGCAGCCATAAATAAGTATAGAATCTCCTGCGTGTTAGACACTGGGGATGCAAATAGACCTTAAAGTAATTCTAAAGTTTTCCCACAGAGATAGCTGAAACAGCTTAGTCACCTTGGACTTGGGTATCCCCATTTTCTAGAGTGGGTCAAGCAATTTGGCATAAGTTAAAATCTTGCTCTTTGGAATAGATCAGGGTTTTTTGTGTTTTGAGACAGGGTCTTGCTCTGTCATCCAGGCTAGAGTGCAATGGTGTGATCATGGCTCACTGCAACCTCAACCCCCTGGACTCAATCGATATTCCCACCTCAGCCTTCCTAGTAGCTGGGACTATAGGCATGTGCCACCACACCCAGTTAATTTTTGTATTTTTTTTTTTTTTTGTAGAGATATTTTCACTATGTTGGCCAGGCTGGTCTTGAACTCATGGGCTCAACTGATGCACCTGCCTTGGCCTCCCAAAGCACTGGAGTTGCAGGCATGAGACACCACACCCAGCCTAGATCTGGATTTTTATCCAGCATTTACTAGTTGGCCAATACGGTGAAACCTCGTCTTTACTAAAATACAAAAAATTAGCTGGGTTTGGTGGCTACATGGGAGGCTGAAGCAGAGGAATTGCTTGAAGCAGAGGAATTGCTTGAACCCGGGAGGCAGAAGTTGCAGTGAGCCGAGATTGTGCCACTACACTCCAGCCTGGCAACACACGGAGACTCCATCTAAAAAAAAAAAAAAATTACATGGAAAGCAATTTTTTTTGACTCATAGCATCTTGTGATAATGTCTTTTTTCCTTTTCTTTTTTCTGATAAAGATTATAATTCTCAGTGTCTTTTTTCTTTCCTCACATTTGGTTTATAGTTTGGCTGAATATATAATTTTAGGTGAAGTTTTTTTTTCCCCCCACAGCATTTTGAAAGATTGCTCTATTGTCTGGGAATATAGGAACACAGAGATGCTTTCTGTAGGGCACAATTTGACTTAAGGAAGTCATATAAAGCTGGGGCTGGAGCACCCATATTTAGGATATGCCAAAGTAGTACTGGAGCAGGGAGGGGACACAGGGTGAGACAGCTGCAGAAGCTGGAGGCCTCCCTGCCTCAGAGTTTGAGACCGTAACTGTTTTAGGCCCTGTCCCCTTTCTGGTTTCTGGTTCCAGGAACTGGAACTCCTGAGGGCCGGCCGTAATTTTTGCTTTGTTTTTCCTCCTTTAAGTTATGGTACCTTGAATGGGTTTCCTTCTTCCAACTAAATGGTCCTTAAGACAGATACCCGTTTTATCTCACACCTGATCTGTTTGTCTGCCTGAATTCAGAAATACAGCCACATTTCTGGGAGACCTCTGAATTGGGAACCAGGAGGCCTAATTCCTATCTGCTTTTACTGGCCCTGGTCAGTGAGTAGCACTGGACAAGTCTCTTCAACCCCTGTGACTCCATCTCCCTGTCAATAAAAATGCAACAGCCACCCCAGTAAGAGTTTTAAAATTAAAGGCAAAATGAGATGATGTTTGTATGTGGACTTTGAAGAAAGGCAGCATCCGCCGATGGGAGTGATGGAAAGGACTGAGGAAGAAGGAAACTGCCTATCCAGGACCTGAACCATCTGGTTATATTTCCAGCTGTCAGCCCTGGTCACTGTCCCACCTGGTGGCACTAGGAGTACTGGAGACTCACCTGTGACTAGAATGGAGAAAAAATGGCCCTGAAGGCGGATATCTGACTTCTGGCTTCTGGCACAACACTGGTAGGTCCCACCGTCCGACGGTGTAACTTGGCTTATGGTGAACACCAGCTGAGATGATATTTCACCAACACCATCTATCCCAGGATCCCTTTTAAGTCTCAGCTGTTGCAGACTGGTCTCAGGAGAACAGTTTCCAGACCTGTCCTTGCACAGAAACACTATAAACCCCTCAGCCTCTTCTTTCTTATGCCACACAGTACAGATTAAGTTTAATCTGGCTCCCTCCTGGGAAGCTGAGCTGGTGATGTTCATGCATCCTGGAATGGAAAGGGAAGAATTACCCAGAGGTCAGGTCGCGTTCTTTGAGTTTCACCATAACTGCTCCTTATCACTAGAAATCTTCAAGGAAGGACTGGAGCAGAAGCTGGCAGCCACGCTGGCAGACAGGAAATACAAATTACAGCTCTATCGATGGCCGTGTGACCATAAGCAAGTTACCTAACTCCTTGGGGAGTAGTTTATTCATCTGGAAAATGAAAATTAAGGGACTAAATAATCTCAAAGTGTCCATTAATTCATAGGTTTCTTTGTTTCTCCACTTAACAAATATGTTTAGGCATTCACTCTGCCAAACCTGCTGGGGCTGTGATGACTAGGACATGAACCCCACCGTCGGACCTTTTTTTTTTTTCCCCTAACCACTAGATGACTGAGGATTTTTTTTTTAATTTTTTAATTTTTTAATTTTTTTTTTTAAGAGAAGGTCTTGGCCAGGCGTAGTGGCTCACGCCTGTAATCCAAGCACTTTGGAGGCCAAGGCGGGCGGATCACCTGAGGTCGGGAGTTCAAGACCAGCCTGACCAATATGGTGAAATCCCATCTTTAAAAAAAAAAAGAAAAGAAAAAAAGAGAAGGTCTTGCTGTGTCACCCAGGCTGGAGTGCAGTGGCACAATTGTGACTCACTGCACCCTTCAACTCCTGGGCTCAAGCAGTCCTCTCACCTCTGCCTCTTGAGTAGCTAACACTACAGGTATGCACCACTGTGCCTGGCTAGTTTTTTATTATTTTGCAGAGACAGGTTCTTACTATCTTGTCCAGGCTGGTCTTAAACTCCAGGCATCAAGCGACCCTCCTGCCTCTGCCTCCCAAAGTGCCGGGATTATAGGCATGAACCACCGTGCCTAGCCACTCTCAGAGTTTAAAGCCTAATATAAAAACAGATTAGTAGACTGGGTGCGGTGGGTCACACCTGTGATCCCAGCACTTTGGGAGGCTGAGACGGGCAGATTGCCTGAGCTCAGGAGTTCGCGACCAGTCCAGGCAACACGGTGAAACCCTGTCTCTACTAAAATACAAAAAGGAAAATTAGCTGGGCGTAGCAGTGTGTGCCTGTAGTCCAGCTACCCAGGAGGCTGAGGCAGGAGAATTGCTTGAACCTGGGAGGCGGAGGTTGCAGTGAGCCGAGATCATGCCACTGCACTCCAGCCTGGGCAACAGAGTGTGACATCGTCTCAAAAAAAAAAAAAAAAAAAAAAACCAGATTAGCAAAAAATTGCAATTTAATTCCACAGTTATTGTAATTGAGGAATCTTAGAGATTGCCGAGTCTGTCTAAGAATCAAGAAAACTTCACAGTGAAGTAAGTACTGGAGCTGAGACTTGAAGGATGAGTAAAAGTTCTAAGAAATACAACATGAGGCCACAGAAATACCAGAGATGATTAAAAACAAGGTTGGGCCCGGTGGCTCGTGGCTATAATCCCAGCACTTTGGGAGGCCAAGGCAGGCGGATCACCTGAGGTCGGGAGTTCGAGATCAGCCTCACCAACATGACAAAACCCTGTCTCTACTAAAAATACAAAATTAGCCGGGTGTGGTGGCGCATGCCTGTAATCTCAGCTACTTGGGAGGCTGAGGCAGAAGAATCATTTGAACTCCGGAAGTGGAGGTTGCAGTGAGCCGAGATCTCACCATTGCACTCCAGCCTGGGCAACGAGAGTGAAACTCTGTCTCAAAAACAAAAACAAAACAAAACAAAAACACCCACTGTGTGGAAATGGAGAATGGACTGGAGGAACAGACTAATTATTGAGGGACCGTTGTTATCCAAAGACCATGACTCTGATGGTGCCAGTCTGCAGACTTGATGATGTTCCCTGCAAGTAATCTATGACCTGGGTACAGAAGTGGAGAAAAGGGTTGGGCTGACCCAGGGTACTGTCCTGGCTCCCGGGCTGTCTCTGACGTAATTTTCCAGGGCATTGGCCCTGCCGCCTTGGTGCCGTCCCTCATTCTCCTCAAACTTCACTGTCTTCCGTAGCTTATGTTTCGTAGTCATTGCTATAATCTCCCCTTACACCCTCCCTCAGCTCCCGTAGCTTTACTCCCACTATGACGAATCCTTGCAAAACCTCAGCCTTGGTTAAATCCAGCTCTCTGCTAAAAACCCATTAGGCAGACGCTGAGGCTGCCAGCCCCTCCCCCACTCCCTTGGCAGAGTGATCCCCTATGACTTGCTTTTCCTTGTAAGACTCCCCTTGGTGGCGGGGCACAGTGGCTCACACCTGTAATCCCAGCACTTTGGGAGGCCGAGGCGGGTGGATCACCTGAGGCTGGGAATTCAAGGCCAGCCTGACTAACATGGAGAAACCCCGTCTCTACTAAAAACATAAAATTAGCCGGGCGTGGTGGCACCTGCTTGTAATCCCAGCTATTCAGGAGGCTGAGGCAGGAGAATCGCTTGAACCCGGGAGGCAGAGTTTGTGGTGAGCTGAGATTGTGCCATTGCACTCCAGCCTGGGCAACAAGAGTGAAACTCCACCTCAAAAAAAAAAAAAAAAGACTCCCCTTGGTAAACACAGTAAATTCACTCGCATGAAAATGATGAAGAGGCAGAGATGGAAGCTGTCCCCTACATATTTAATGCCATTCTCTTAAAAGGGTAGTTTATGGGCTAGACCCATATCTGAGGGAGACCTGCAATCCCAGCCATTGATTAACTCTTAATTTCTGCTTTCCAGCTGGAAATTCTATAGGGTCTCTATTAGAGTGCTTTTCTATAGATCAAATCCTCGGTATAGCCATAGAGACAGGTATTATTGTTTCCATTTTATAAATACACAAATTGAGGCCAGAGTAGTTAAACTAGTTGCTGAAGTTAACAAAGATTGTAGTATCTAGATCTCAAGCCTGGCTTTTATACATTTATAATATATGAGAAACTAAAGGAATCTTAGGTTGAGGCACAGATGACCAGGGTACATTAACACACATAGCAGAGGCAGAATGGTAGAGAGGCAGTAGTATCTGTTCTAACAAAAAATAAAAAGACGCCGTATTTTTGACTCTTAATGTAAGAAGAGTGAGTTGGCCGGGCTCCTGAGGATCACCTGAGGTCAGGAGTTTGAGACCAGCCTGACCAATATGGTGAAACCCCTTCTCTACTAAAAATATAAAAATTAGGCAGGCATGGTGGCACGCGCCTGCACTCCTGGCTACCCGGGAGGCTGAGACAGGAGAATTGTTTGAGCCTCCGAGGTGGAGGTTGCAGTGAGCCGAAATCGCACCACTGCACTCCAGCCTCGGTGACAGAGTGAGACTTTGTCCCCACCCCCACAAAAAAAAGAAGAAGAAGAAGAAGAGTGAGTCCTTTGCTTCCCCACCTGAGAAAATCACGGGATCCAACCCTTCCCCTAAGCCCAGGGTCCTCGCCACGGCTGTCTCTGCTCTAGGGCCTGTCCTTACCACCAGACTGGATGCCCACAACTGCCAGCAGGATGGCCAGGGCACAGCAGCCTCTGCCAGGTTCCATCAGCATCCTGCACGCTGTCAGCAGGCCCAGGAACTTGAAGCAAATGTTGGCTCTGCTGGTATCCTTGGCTTCAGGCTCCTGAAAGCACAGGGGGACCCACTAGACAAAGCTTTCCAGGGCTCCAAGACCATCTCCCCACCCCAGGCACTAGCTTTGATTGGCTAGAGTATGATGGAGGTAGAGGAGGGTCTGGGCATGTGTGTTCAGCTGGCTGGGAAGTGACGCGGTAAACCAAGTGAAATATACTAGGGTGGGGGTGGGGAGAAGGGAGAGACTAGGGAGACACCAAAGCCTATTTTCTCACCTTTTTTTAAAAGTTAAATTAGATTGCTGGGTCAAAGACTATGAGTATTAATACTTTTTTTCTACTATAATCAGATTGTTCTCCAAAAAGGCTGTTGAGAATCAGATGTTCTGTTAGAGATCTGTTTTATTTTGCATTTCCATGGTTAGTGAGGTTGAGGATCTTTTCATATGCTTGTTGGTTATTGGTATTCCCTTGTCCATGACTTGTGTGTTTATATTTCTTAAAAACTCGTTTCAGGAACTTTCTCTATATTAGAGATATTAACCCATCTGCCATTTTTTAGGCAAATACTTTCTCCCAATTTGTTGTTTATCTCTTCACTTCGTTTATCATGCTTTTTTTTTTTCCACAAGGAAAATTTACATCGTATGTAATTGAATTCAACATACCTATCTTTTCCTCTAAGTTGTCTGGGTTTGCTGCATTGTTCAGGAAAGCTTCCCTCCGATTGAGGCTATACTTTTCATTCAGTATTTTTTTTGTTTTACTTTTTATAATTATACCTTCTAATCCTGGCTAAGAAAAATTACCCCTGTTTCAAAATAACTGAACAAAAACAAACACCTGAATTTCATCAGTAGGGAAATGGTTTAATAAGTTTCAATTAATCTATACAATAAAATATTATATATTATTAAAAGAATGAGATACTTCTATAAATATGGGCCTGAACATCTGTTTATGATATAGCATTAGGTTAAAAGGGCAAATTGCATTTATGTATATAAAATAAATATATTTTTATTTTTAAAAAATCCTCTGTGTATATATTTTTTAAATGTGTTTGAAGTTTTGTAGTTTATAACTTTTAAATAGGTAATTACATTCACAGAGTTCAAAATTCAAAAGGGGAAAACAAGAATTTTTCTATAAATTAATTTTTCTGGTTTTTATAATCAGCTTGTCTCGTCTCTCCCTTCCTACCATGTACCACCAAGAAAAGTCCTACTGGTATTTTTTTTTATTGGGATAGGTTCAATTTATGTTTCAACTTAGGGAGAATTGAATTTTTTGTTACACTGATTCCTTTGATCTGAGAACGTGATACTCATTTTTCAAATATGTGTGTCTCAGATATGTATAGAAGTTTTCTTCATAAAGTCTTTGTTCATTTCTTAGCTGAGTTTGTTTCTTGAATAATTCATATTCTTTGTCACTATTGAAAATGTCATCTTTTACCCATTGTATCTTTTTTTTTTTTTTTTTGAGACGGAGTTTCGCTCTTGTTACCCAGGCTGGAGTGCAATGGCGCGATCTCGGCTCACCGCAACCTCCGCCTCCTGGGTTCAGGCAATTCTCCTGCCTCAGCCTCCTGAGTAGCTGGGACTAGAGGCACACACCACCATGCCCAGCTAATTTTTTTTTGTATTTTTAGTAGAGACGGGGTTTCACCATGTTGACCAGGATGGTCTCGATCTCTTGACCTCGTGATCCACCCGCCTCGGCCTCCCAAAGTGCTGGGATTACAGGCGTGAGCCACCGCGCCCGGCTACCCATTGTACCTTTTAACTTGTTTTTTCAGTCTCTTTATATCATTCATTATATCATGTCATTTTTCTTTGTTGTTCGTATATGAAAGGCTATTTTTTTCACCAGATATTAATTTCATATCCAGCTACCCTCCTTTAATTCTATCGATTTTCAGTTGATTCTCTTGGATTTTCCAGTCATGCAATCACATTATGTGTAAATAACAATTACTTCCTTTTCTATTTTATACCTCTGATTTCTTTCTTCTAATTGTATTGGTTAATATCTCCAGAAAAAATATTAAATAATAATGGTAATAATGAATCTCTGTGTTTTTTCTAAGTTTAATGGAGAATGTTAAATGTTTCCTTATTAAGTATTATAGTAGTTTTGAGAATTAGATGTATTTTATTATGTTAAGGAATATATATTTATTTCTATTTTATTAAGAGTTTTAGGCTGGGCATGGTGGCTTGTGCCTGTAATCCCAGCACTTTGGGAGGCCGAGGCGGGCAGATCACCTGAAGTCAGGAGTTCGAGACCAGCCTGACCAACATGAAGAAACTGTCTCTACTAAAAATAACAAAATTAGCTGGGCATGGTGGTGCATGCCTGTAGTCCCAGCTACTCAGGAGGCTGAGGCAGGAGAATCGCTTGAATCCGGGAGGTGGAGGTAGCAGTGAGCCGAGATCAAGACACTGCATTCCAGCCTGGGTAATAAAAGCAAAACTCCGTGTCAAAAAAGATACCAAAAAAGTTTTAAAATGTCAGGGATGGATGTGCATGTCTTAGTAGTTGCCTTTAAATATCAACTGAAATAATCATATTATTTTTCTTTATAGATTTATTAAGATGGTGATCTACAGTAATAGATTTCCTAAAATTGATACATCTTTGCAGTCCTACACAAACAAAAACGGAAGCCATTTGGTCATAATATCTTATTCCTTTCACATGCTGCTGTATGCTGTTTCATAAGATTTAAACTTTTAAAAATTGAAAGGCCCAGGTGCAGCAGCTCACACCTATAATCCCAGCACTTTGGGAGGCCAAGATGGGAGGATCACTTGAGCCCAGGAGTTTGAGACCAGCCTGGGCAATGAAGTGAGACCCTGTCTTTACAAAAAATACAGCTAAAAAAATTAGCCAGGTGTAGTTGTGCATACCTGTAGTCTCAGCTACTCAGGAGGCTTAGGTCAGAGAAGTGCAGGAGTTCAAGGCTGCAGAGAGCTATGACCTCCACTGCACTCTGCCTGGTTGACACTGAGAACCCGTCTGTCTCAAAAAAAAACAAACAAAAATTACACACATACAAAAATTAACTAACCAATCCAGCAAGATATTAGAAATATAATGCCCCATGACAAATAGAATGACGTTTCATTTTTAGAAATTCTTGGATGATTTAATATTAGGATTCTATTAATAACATACTACTGGATCAAAAAAGAAAGTCAATATTACCTTCTGATAAAATCCTACATTAATTCCCACTAAAAGCCTAAGTAAAATGGTAATGGATGAATACTATTCAATATAGTGGAGAAATGTATATCTCAGATAAAATTTCAGCATCATATTTAATGGTCAAATATAGGATAATTTCTTTTAATATTAGGAGCAAGGCAAAGATGCTTCCTATTATTTCTGTTATTTTACATTGTTCTGGAAGTGTCTGACATTATATTTAAACAAGAAAATAAAGCAAAGGGTATAAATATTGGAAATCTGAAGGCAAAATTATTACTATTTATATGTGAGATAACTTACATCTGGCAAACCCAAGAAACTTAAGAATTATTAGAAACTGTAAAAGATAGAGTATCTGAATGGGCAGTTCACAAAAGAGAAAATGGAATAAAAAGGTTTTCAGTCTTACAAGTATTCAGGGAAGTACAAATTAAAAATTCAGAGTTCATAATTTCAGAATTACCACCTGTTAAAAGAAAAAAAATTTAAAAGATTGATAAATCCAGTTTTGGTAAGGGCAAGAAGAAACGCAGTAAATCATTCGCTCTGGGTAGAACTATACGTTGTTATGGAGCTTTGGGGGAATACTCATTATATATTAACATTTAAAATGCACATACCCTGTCCCTTTGGCTATAGCTTACAGAAATAAAAGCATGAGTGTGCTAGTATATATGTACAAGAATATTCACTGCAACATTGTTGATAATACCAAAAAATTAGAAACAGGTGAAGGCCAGGTGTGGTGGCTCACAGCTGTGATTCCAGCACTTTGGGAGGCTGAGGTGCTAGGATCACCTGAGGTCAGGAGTTTGCGACCAGCTGGCTAACATGATGAAACCCTGGCTCTATTAAAAATGCAAACACGGACGGGTGTGGTGGCTCACTCCTGTAATCCAAGCACTTTGGAGGCCAAGGTGGGTGGATCACCTGAGGTCGGGAGTTCAAGACCAGCCTGACCAACATGGTGAAACCCCCGTCTTAAAAAAAAAAAAATTAAAAAAAAATTCGAACATTAGCCAGGCATGGTGGCAGATGCCTGTAATTCCAGGTACTCAGGAGGCTGAGGCAAGAGAATTGCTTGAACCTGGGAGGTGGAGACTGCAGTGAGCCAAGATCATACCACTGCACTCCAGCCTGGGCAACACGAGCAAAGCCTTGTCCCCCTCCTGCTCCCACAAAAAAAGGAAACAGGTGAAGACCCCATTGGTAGAAGAATGGCTGAATAAATTATTGCATATCCACAGAATAGAATGTTATGTAATTATAATTTATATAAAATAATTAAATTAGTGTATATAAATAAATATAATTTAATAAGGTATTTATGAACACATAACATTATTAATTTTCCTAGATATAATTATTAGTCAGACAACATGATAATAGAAAAAATGTCCCATTCATTGTAGCAACCAAAACAACCCATAAAATGTCCAGAAAAATGTAACACGATTCCAAATAGGACCCACAGGAAAAATACTATAAAGTACTACTAAAGAACATAAAAGAAAACCTAAGTAGAGACGATTGTTAATTTTGTCTGTACTTGTCTATACATTTGTCACAGTCCTAATGAAACAGCCCCGCAGCAGCCCATGGTGTGGCCCCAATGTGTTTTCCTAGCCTTGACCTCTTCTTGTCCCCTCTCTCCTGTTACACCTTCATGCTACACAGGAATGTCCTGGTAACACTTGAAATGAAACATGAAATACTTAGTGACAAAGCATCATTTGATTCAAAGAGGAAGATAAGGATTGCAATTATTCATTCAGTCCAGGATTATGGTTAAAATGCATAGACTCTAGAGCCAGAGTGTGTTCAAATCCTGGTCCTAAAACTTAACAGTTGCATGACAAGGTCAAGTTCAAGGTCAAGTTTCTTAGGTTCCTGGGCCAGGCACTATGCTCAGCCCTTAATCAATAGTCCTATTTCACAAACACGGAGCATCTGTAATGTGTCGGGCACCGTGAGGCAGAGGCAGATGTTTCACTGGTTGAATCGTCTCTGGCGTCAGACCTGCCTGTTAGAGATCTGGCTTTAACACTTACTATCTGTGTAATACTGGGCGCGTTTCTTAACCTCTCCGAAAATGAGTTTACCTATAAAATGGTGACAAAATATTGTCTTCTAGGGTTGTGAGGGTCAAATTACCCTATGTAAACTACTTAGCGTAGTGCCTGGCTGAGAGTATGGGCTCAATAAACGCTAGCTATGATTGTGTTTTTTGAGACAGAGTCTTGCTGTCGCCCGGCTGGAGCGCAGTGGCACAGTCTCGGCTCACTGCAACCTCCACCTCCCGGGTTCAAGCGATTCTTCCGCCTCAGCCTCCCGAGTAGCTGGGACCATAGGCGTGTGCCAAACGCCCGGCTAATATTTTAGTAGAGACGGGGTTTCACCATGTTGGCCAGGATGGTCTCTATCTCTTGACCTTGTGATCTACCCTCCTCGGCCTCCCAAGGTGCTGGGATTACAGGTGTGAGCCACCGCGCCCGGCTAGCTATGATTGTTTTTATGCTTTCTTATATTCCATGGACAGTGTTCCAGGCACATCCACATACAAGAGACTGTGTTTAGTCCTTACAGTATTAAACACTAAGCCATTATTATTTTTTTAAAACATTATTTGTACGAAGCATATAGAGGCTTGGAGAGGCCTTGTGGCACAGCTCCTAAGTTGGGGAGCAGAGTTTTGACCCAACTTATGAGTCTTTCTCCTGGAGTCCCCCTTGGCCCTCTCCATTCACGATCAGCTCCAACACAAGAACGTACGAAGAACGGTAAGAAGGTCATAAAGTGTCAGAAGCAGGAAAGGAGAAATTCTGGATGAAGGATGCGGAAAGGCTGCAGGATAGCAATGGAGTTAGGCCTTCACAGATGTTAGTGGGCTCTGGGGAGCTGGTGCCTCAATAACACGGTGTGTGCGTTAAGGAGTGGGCTGAGGAGATCGGGGTTCCAGTCCTAGCCCCGCACTAGGTAGCTATGGAACGCTGAGAAGGTCGTGTTCCTCCTCTAGGCCTGTTTCCCACGGGACTGGTGCAGGTGTATGGGAGGGGCGCGGGGTAGGCACCGCTTCCAAGGAGAGAGCGGCGGCCAGGCGGCCCGGCTCGGAGCGCGGGTGCGGCGGTCGGTCCGCTGGAGTGGCCAGGCTTCGCGGTGCCTAGGCCCGAGTTGAAGAGGAGCGTGTAAGTCTGTCGTGGACCCCTCAGCCGCGCTGGGGGCCGGCGGGGTCACGGAGCAGGGATGCTGTGGGAAGTGACCTTGGTGCCCGGGAGGGGGCACCCTGGGGTGACGGTGGCCGGCGGCGCCGATTCCGCACCGTGGCCGCTAGAGGGCGCTGTGTTCCACCCGAAGCCGGGGTGACCCCAGCGCGCCCCGCGTTCGTCACTCCCGCCGTGCACCGTCCCGCGGGCATGGGGGCTAGCCAGGAAAAACTAAACTAGCAGAGGAGACGAGGGGGTGCAAAATTGGGCCTGGTGGGTCCTGGGGACGCGGTATGTGCTAGAGCGGCACCTGGCCCTCGATGGGGGAGGGGGTGGTCGTGAGAAGTCTGGGGACTTTCCAGGCCACACACGCCAGGGGCGGGTCTCCCCTCTTACATCGTTGCAAGCCCCGGCGCGGGCAGGGGGGAGGGTGCCCGCGGAGTTGGCATCCTCACCTGTGATCTTCCCCGGGGCCTCCCAGGCGAGCGCTCGCAGACAGCGGGAAACGCTCTCCTCCCTCCTGCGCCTTCAGGTGGGAGCCGCCTCGGTGGGGGTCCTGGCGTCTCCCGGGGGCGCCTGCGTTCAAATCCCAGCGCCGTGTGACCTGTGGCACATGCCTGGACCTCGCCCAGCGTCAGAATGGGACCCGGAACCCTGAATGCCCATGGAATGAGCGTGCTGGTCCAGCAGGCAGAAGTAACCTCTCAAACTCCTCACCTCAAGTGATCCACCCTTCTGGACCTCCCAAAGTGCTGGAATTACAGGTGTGAGCCACCTGCCTGGCCGATACCTTTTAAAAATTATTTGTATGGGGTCTCCCTATGCTGCCCCGCCTGGTCTTGAACTCCTGGGCTCAAGCAATCCTCCAGCCTTGGCCTCTCAAAGTGCTGGGATTACAGGCCTGAACCACCACCCCCAGCTTCCCTCCCATTTCTATTTTGCTCTGTTTTTCCTTGGTCAGTGATGGCTTGGGAGATTACAGCGACTATTTTAAAAGTTTCCGGGAGGCTGAGGCAGGAGAATTGCTTGAACCTGGGAGACAGAGGTTGCAGTGAGCTGAGATCACACCACTGCACTCCAGCCTAGGCAACAGAGCGAGACTTCATCTCAAAAAAAAAAAAAGTTTCATTCACCCCAGGTTCCAGAGGGCAGGGGACGTTTCCCTCCAAAAAGCAGGTTTCTCAGGGACCTCATGGGAAGCCTGTCCTGTCAACCGTCCCGTCCCTCCTCCTGGACCCCAGGTCCCCAACAGGCCTTTTTACCTCAAGATAGAAGTTCTTCTTTCTTGCTCTCAGAGTGGGGTATCACGTTGAAATGAGCTCTCCGTTCTCAGATTGTTCTTGCATCTTGTTAAACCCCCATCTCTCCAGTTTCGTCATGGCTCACACTTTCACGGCTGTTGTACGTGGTCTTTGAAAACCACAGGATGGGTTGTTAGCACTCAGAGTTCTTCCTCCACCCCCACTGTGGATGTTTTTCTCCTTTCTCTCCTGCAACTCGTCCTGCATTTCCTTTCTCCTTCTCAGTTCCTTGTGTTGTCTTTTTGCTGTTAGAAATAGACTAGGGTGCCGGGCGCGGTGGCTCAAGCCTGTAATCCCAGCACTTTGGGAGGCTGAGGCGGGTGGATCACGAGGTCAAGAGATCGAGACCATCCTGGTCAACACGGTGAAACCCCGTCTCTACTAAAACTACAAAAAATTAGCTGGGCATGGTGGCGCATGCCTGTAATCCCAGCTACTCAGGAGGCTGAGGCAGGAGAATTGCCTGAACCCGGGAGGCGGAGGTTGCGGTGAGCCGAGATCGCGCCATTGCACTCCAGCCTGGGTAACGAGAGCGAAACTCCATCTCAAAAAAAAAAAAAAAAAATAGACTAGGGTGCTGAGAGGGCTGAGAAAAAAACCACCCCTTAAAATTCTTTTCTTTACCCTGGGGAAAAAAGCTTTTGTATTCGGTAATTCATAATAAGGAAGGGACTGATGATAGAATAGAAGATAGAAGGACAGAGCGCCCTCTCAAGTATAAAGAAAGTACTAAGTCTTCTCTTGAGAGTAGGTTTTTATTTATTTATTTGTTTTTTAATTATTATTTTTTTTAAAAGACAGGGTTTCACCATGTTGGCCAGACTGGTCTTGAACTCCTGACCGCAAGTGATCTGCCCACCTTGGCCTCCCAAAGTGCTGAAATTACAGGCATGAGCCACCACGTCTGGCCAATAACTTTTAAAAATTATTTGTATGAGGCCGGGCGCAGTGGCTCACGCCTGTAATCCCAGCACTTTGGGAGGCCGAGGCGGGTGGATCACGAGGTCAAGAGATCGAGACCATCCTGCCCAACATGGTGAAAACCTGTCTGTATATATATTTTTTAAAAAATTATTTGTATGGTGGGGTCTCCCTATGCTGCCCCACCTGGTCTTGAACCCCTGGACTCAAACAATCCTCCAGACTTGGCCTCCCAAAGTGCTGGGATTACAGGCCTGAACCACCACACCCAGCTTCCCGCCCATTTCTATTTTGTTCTGTTCTTCCTCGATCATTGATGGCTTGGGAGATTACAACGATTTTTCCTGAATTCTAGGGTCGTGGACTTAGATGGCAGGAGCGTTGGTCTGAGAATTAGAAGTGTTGGGCTCTAAATCCTGCGAGGCTGGGCCAGGCCCTGTGCCAGAGGACACAGCACACCAGGAAGCTCCATGGTTCTGGAGGAACACTTGCCATGACGGCCACCCAGGGCTGGGCTACCGGGGAGTTCAAGGGTGGAGGGAGGGTGGGGGAAGAATATTCATGACTAATCTAGAGCCTCTCTTTTCCTTGTTATTCCTGTTACTGTGGTACTCTGTGGTCCTAAAAACAGTATGGTGCTCTGGGCTTTGAGAATTCCCAGGTGACTCCACTGAAGCCATCGTCAGATGAAAAGACATTAGACATATCTCCAACCAAGTGTTAGTTTTCACTGCAGAACAAGCCTGGGGGAGCCGGGCGTGGTGGCTCACTCCTGTAATCCCAGCACTTTGGGAGGCCGAGGCGGGCGGATCACGAGGTCAAGAGATCGAGACCAATCTGGCCAACATGGTGAAACCCCGTCTCTACTAAAATACAAAACGTAGCTGGGCGTGGTAGCGCGTGTCTGTAGTCCCAGCTACTCAGGAGGCTGAGGCAGGAGAATTGCTTGAACCCAGGAGGCGGAGGTTGCAGTTAGCCGAGATCGCGCCGCTGCACTCCAGCCTGGCGCCTGATGACAGAGCAAGACTTTGTCACAAAAACAAAAAACAAACCAAAAAAAACACAAAAAACCCCTGTGATTATTAGCAACATGAAAAGAAGTGAAAGATAACCAGCGTTGTGGATGAGTGGGGTTGGGGCCCCTTAGGTACCTGCAGACACATATGGTTATTGCAAGAAAACCTCAAAAGTTCTGCAGAGACCTCAGGCTCAAAACTGAATCACAGTGCACTTCCTTTTCACCAGCCGTGCAGTGTGTGGTCCAGCCTGTAAACGGCTGCGTGCACAGTTTTCTGCAGATGTTGCTTTGGTCACTCCTCACAATGTTGTGTGCGCCGGGCCCCGTGGAGTTCACGATGACTGAATGGGGCCTGCTCTCAAGGCGAGCACGCTGTTGAGAGGCTTGCATCCCCAGGAGAGGAAGCAGAGCGGACCGAGAGCTATAGGTACCCCAGAAGTGAGAGAGAAACCAGGAAGCAGGGGAGGTTGGGAGGAAGAGGAGACTGCCCTGTGGGGCGCAGACCGTGAGGCGCTCTGTGTGGACAGCGAGACATTTGAATTGAGCTTTGAAAGAAGGCAGGACTTCAAAAGGCAGGGGTGGAGGAACAGCATGAGCCAGCAAGGAGCAGGGACATACGGGTGTGGCTTGGAAGTCAGTGAAGCAATGAGGTGGCTGAAATCGAGGCTGCTCCTGCTCATCCACGGCCTCCCAAATATGTATCCTGTGGGCCTCTGATGTCCAGTTACACAATTTAGCAACCAATAGATTGTATTCAAGATACTAATAGTAAGCACTTGACATTAAAAAAATGAAAAACTGCGTGGATGTGGAATCGTATCTCCATCTTACTTCTATAGAGCTATGGGGTTTTGGCAGGGCGCAGTGGTTCAGGCCTGTAATTTTGGCAGTCGGATCACAAGGTCAGGAGATCGAGACCAGCCTGGCTAACACAGTGAAACCCCGTCTCTACTAAAAATACAAAAAAAATAGTGAGTATAGTGGTGCACACCTGTAGTCCCAGTTACTCTGGAGGCTGAGGCAGGGGAATCACTTGAACCTGGGAGGCAGAGCCGAGATCACTCCACTGCACTCCAGCCTGGGCAACAGAGCGCGACTCCACCTCAGAAAAAATAAAAAAGAAAAGAATGACGGGGCTTTGGGTTTTGGACGCAGAAGAGACTGCAGCAGTCTCTAGTCCCTGGAGGTGTGCAGACACTTGCATGCCAGCGGTTCTGAAATTTGAGCGTCAATCAGAATTACGGGGAGGGCTTGTTTGAACAATTTGGATGGCTGGGCCCAGCTGCAGAGTTTCTGATTCAGTAGGTCTCGGGGCAGGGGTGGGGGTGGTCCAAGACGTTGCATTCCTAACAAGTTCCCTGGTCCTATTGCTGCTATAATACTCCCTGCAAAGTGTGCTGGGTAATACCTTTGCGTCCCCTGCTTAAATCGCTCTGCGATTCTGCAGCTCACTACCACCCAAAGTAGCTACCCACTATCCCTTGCGGAATACTTCCAGTTTTTTGTTTGTTTGTTTGTTTGAGACGGAGTCTCATTCTGTCGCCAGCCTGGAGAGCGCTGTGGCATCTCGGCTCACTGCAACCTCTGCCTTCCAAATTTAAGCGATTCTCCTGCCTCAGCTTCCCAAGTAGCTGGGAATACAGGCCGGTGGCACCCTGCCCAGGTAATTTTTTTTTTGTATCTTTAGAAGAGATGGGGTTTCACCACGTTAGCCAGGATGGTCTCGATCTCCTGACTTCATCATCCGCCTGCCTCGGCCTCCCAAAGTGCTGGGATTACAACTGCGAGTCACCTCGGCCATACTTCAAGTTACTTAAAAATTCTTCCTCGTGTTGCTGTCAGTCCTGCCTTCCTTTAACTTTCAGCTAATTCTGCTGAGGGCCCCACACGGGACATGTCTATGGATGGCAGGCAAGTTTCGGGCACAGGAGGAGACTGCCTGGGTTTACATCCTGACTCCACCATTTACCATGTGACCTTGGATAAGTCATTCAACTTTCCTGTGTTTTCCTCAACCGTGGAATGGGGATAATAATTGCACTTCTATCACAGAACTGCTGTTTAGAGTAAATGAGAAAAATGTGTAAAACAATTGACATGGTGCTTGGCATAGAAAAAGTACTCAGGTGTGGGCTGGTATCATTACCTAGTTTCCTCTTCTTTTCCTTCCTTCCTTCCCTGTCTTTTCTTTCTCTCTCTCTCCTTCCTTCCCTCCTTCTTCCTTTTTTCCTTCTCTGTCTTTCTCTCTTTTCTTTCTTTCTGAAAGAGTCTCCCTCTGTTGCCCAGGCTGGAGTGCAGTGCACAATCTTGGCTCCCTGCAACCTCCGTCTCCTGGGTTCAAGTGATTCTTGTGCCTCAGCCTCCCGAGTACAGCCACACACCACCACGCCTGGCTAAGTCTTTGTATTTTTTTTTTTTTTTTTGAGACGGAGTTTTGCTCTTGTTACCCAGGCTGGAGTGCAATGGCACGATCTCGGCTCACCACAACCTCCGCCTCCTGGGTTCAGGCAATTCTCCTGCCTCAGCCTCCTGAGTAGCTGGGATTACAGGCACGCGCCACCATGCCCAGCTAATTTTTTGTATTTTTAGTAGAGACGGGGTTTCACCATGTTGACCAGGATGGTCTCGATCTCTTGACCTCGTGATCCACCCGCCTCGGCCTCCCAAAGTGCTGGGATTACAGGCGTGAGCCACCGCGCCCAGCCTGTCTTTGTATTTTTTAGTAGAGATGGGGTTTCACCATGTTGGTCAGGCTGGTCTCGAACGTCTGAACTTAGGCGATCTGCCTGCCTCAGCCTCCCAACTGCTGGGATTATAGGTGTTAGCCATGGCGCCTGGCTGTCATTACCTAGTTTTCCTTCCTACTCAGGAATCTATCAGATCTCTGAAGAAAGTTAATCATCCTAATGTTTCTCTTTTCTGGGCTAAATATCTCTAGCTCCTGCAATTGTTTCTTATAATTACTTCAGTGCTTTCGTGGTTTCAGTGTTTTGTTTGGCCTTTCCGCCCTTCTCTGAATAGAGTCGAGTTTGTCAGTCTCCCGTGTCAGGTGCATGGCTCAGACCTGCCACCTGCCTCAGCTTCGTCCGGGTCTCGTCTGTTCACTGCAGCCAAAGGTCACTTTAGCGTTGTAGCTGTTTCCACATTTCACTGGACTATTTCAGACTACTTCCAGGCCATAAAGGTGTCAGAGGTTGCACCTGCGTGCAGAAAGGGGCACTCCTTCTCCTGTCACGCTTCCCTTTGTTGCTTAGCACGTGTGAGTTTGGGGAGTGTCAG